AAAAAAATCGACTTCGACGTCCTTGACGGAGATAATTTTTTGGTCAGCCGATTTCTCCGAAACGGCTGAATGGATTTCTTCGTTTGAGGGCTCTACGGACGGCGGAGATACAGGGCTTTTTAATGGTGTGCCTTAGACGCTTTTTAATTAATGGTTGATTAGTAACTTTTTGTTTGACGCCGTCTCATTTGTAAAATGAAAGCTCAGTTTGGACCAAACTTTGTGACCAAGCACTAATTCTACGCCGGAAATGGATGCTGAAGCCTGGGTTGCGCAACCTCAAACGGTGCTGAAGCTTATCTCTTCTAGGGCGATGCAAGTTTGTAAAATAAAAACTTAATTTGGACCACATTCGGTGATCTAATGCAAAACTCACACCAAAAATGCGCTTTGATGGAGCCTTAGTTAGTCATCTGATGCCCAATTTATCTGGGCTATTTACGTAATAAATTGTTTAATGCAAATGCGTGAAAGTGGTCGAAACCTTTGATGCTACACGAAAATATACTTTTCTACTTGTACAATTTCGAGCAATGCACAAAACAGCCCTAGTTTACATATTTGTCAAAGTGAATCTTCGACTCGGCGCCTGCATGCATATAAGTAGATAAAGTGACGGAATTGAGGCTAAGGACCACTTCGACGAATCAGATAATCTCGTCCAACCCTTCAATGTGCACCCATCTCGACCAGTCGGGCACTTCGCGTGGGTTCAACTGAACTCCTCCGCCCAGTACACCAATCAAAACGGAATTGTGGTCCATCTGCTACGTTGGCCATGCGGGTATTCTCCTTCCTCTCGTTGTTCGTAGCCACCGCCAACGCCGCCTGCAGTCGCGACACGACTGCTTTGACCTCTGACTGCAGCTCTCAATGCTACCAAGGTCGTCCTTGCATCGCCTTCGCTGCGGACGCGTCATGCAACGCCACCACGTTCGGAACGTGCGTCAATGAAGGGAACTCGTCCAGTGGATCAGCTGCGGACTCGTGCGCCTTCGAGTGCTTTGTCAATGGACCCAAAGACTTCGCTGCCAATGGGGCCGTGGAGTTCACGGAATATGTCTTCTTTATTCCTTACGGGAGTGAACAGAGCAAGTGGGAAGCGAACTGGACGAGCTCTCAAGCGAGTACGGTGGACACACAGTTGGAGAGCGAAGTTGACGAGACGCAATTTTATCCCAGTGAATCAAATTTGGTGTTCAAGGATATTGAACCGCTAACGTTCCAGACTGAGACGACAACAGTGTAAGTAAAAAGGTTAATTGATTTTTTATTTAGAAAAGCTGATTGTTATTGTGGAAACAGAATGTTTGTCGGAGGAACGAGTGTGTGGGGAGTAAGAGGGAAAGTTTCACAAGTGAAATTGAGTGCACAGTTCCTGTCGGAGAATACGCAGTTGAAAAACATGTACGTAGAGTAATACTAGTCCTAGTACTAGTAGGATAGTGTGTGTGCTTTTCTTTCCAATTTCTGATATTTTGTGACGTAGAACGATGGTAAATCTCGGGTTTGACACGGATCCACCGCAGTCGACGTTTCCTACGACGAATGTTGAGAGCTTCCGGATGTCAAATTGTCTACTGAGCACATATCCAGCGGACTTGGAGTTCATGACGTCCGTCGTGCACGTGTGAGTAAATTGTCATTATATGCTGCTGGATTATTATAGTCAGTTAACTGACGTTTGTTGGTTATAGTGATTTTTCGCAGAATTACTTCAAAGACTACCCCGTCAAGTTCTCGCATGCTTCGATGGAGTCGCTCAACTTGTCTACAAACGCTCTAACTGCCTGCAGCGGCGACTTCCCAAACATGAAAAACCTGTACGTGTTTGATGATTTGTTTCAACACTTAACTGACGTTGTACTTCTTTGTTATAGTGATTTATCTGGAAACACACTGACAGAAATTCCATCGAATATCCTCGACATGCCAAAGCTGAAGGTGTTAAACCTTAGTGGAAATTCGTTCACGGATGTGTCACTCACAGCTGAACAAGTCACGTTCTTCCAAAGTCTAGAAACTTTCACTATCGATACTTTTGGCGACACATCACAATGCTCGGAGTCAGCACGAGTCGAAATCAGCGGTGTCACGGTTTGTACGGGTACAGGGAATGCAGAGAGCTCGTCTTCTAGCGACGGCGGCAGCAACGTTGGGGCGATTGTCGGTGGAGTTGTCGGTGCTATCGTCGTGGCAATTGTGCTTGGCGTCGCGTTCTTCTACTATCGACGTCGTAAAGCCCATGGAAAAGGCTTTGGAACCTTTACGGGTTTTTCAGATCCGACACACCGGTCTGGTCGTGGCGGAGCATCCCTTTGGAACGATCAAGAGCTGCTATCGTTGCAAGTAAATCCTGATGATATCGAGGACATTCGGAAGCTTGGAGCAGGAGCGTTTGGGGTTGTCTACTTGGCCAAGTATCGACAGAACAGACTCGTGGCTTGCAAACGTCTTAAGAAGGGAGAAGCTACGTTCGAGAATACGCAGAATTTCATCGCGGAGATCAAATTATGTGCGACTTTGGACCATCCACGCGTTGTCCAACTTCTTGGCGTTGCTTGGACGATTGAGAGCGACTTGCAGGCCATGTTTGAGTACATGTCCAAGGGAGATCTCCGTACATTTCTGGAGAAAACCAAGGCTGGACCAAAGATCTGGAACGCGGAGAAGTTACAGCTTGCTGCTGATGTTACGGAAGCTTTGGTGTACGTTCACTCGTTCGCGCCGCCGATCGTGCACCGCGATCTCAAGTCTCGTAACGTTTTACTATCTGAGGACACTCGGGGACATCTGAGTGACTTTGGAGTGGCACGAGTGCGATCCGCTAACAACACTATGACCAGTGGAGTGGGCACGGGGCGTTGGCTTGCTCCTGAAGTCATTGCAGGTAACAGAAACTACGACCAGACGAGTGATATCTTCGCTCTGGGTGTTGTTATGTCCGAGCTGGACACGCACATGTTGCCATACGAAGACGCTCGTGGAGCAGGTGGCAATCCACTGGCCGACGTCGCGATTCTGCAGCTCGTGGCTTCCGGTAAATTACTACCAACGTTCGGGTCACAGTGTCCTCCAGAGATTCACGAATTGGCCAAACGCTGCATGGCCTACAACCCACAAGACAGACCCACAGCAGTCGAAGTTGCCTTTGCACTGCGAACACTGCACAAATCCGGCGCGTTTAACTAGTTCTTGCTGCTTTTTCTCTTCGTGGTTTAATGATATTGATACTTAGTTCTATGGTTAGAGGAGTGTATAGTGTGATCGCTGGATGACTCGAAGCTCGTAGGCCACGACGTGAGCTGGAGGGCGATTTTCAGGGTCTTGATCTAGACATCGTTCGGCCAACATACGGAGTTCTGGTGGACAGCTAGCTCCAAATCTAGGACGAAGTTGACCCGTAGCCACGAGTTGTAAGATGGCAATATCATTCAGACGATTGCCATTCGCTCCACGCACATCTTCGTACGGGATCGAGTGTGTGTCCATTTCGGACAAGACAACGCCGAATGAGAAGACATCCACGGACTGATCGTACTTGCTACTGCCTGAAATGACCTCAGGCGCTAACCAGCGTCCCGTTCCGACTGCTGCAGTCATGGTCTCGTCCACTGATTTGTATCGTGACGCACCAAAATCGGTCACTTTGGCCTTCATATCACCCGTCAAAAGCACATTTCGCGACTTGAGATCGCGGTGTACCAAAGGCGGAGTGAACGAGTGCACGTACACCAAAGCCTCGATGATATCCGCAGCCAATTGCAACAATTCCTGACTCCAATGACGAGGAGAGTTCGGATCCACAAGATAGTCACGCAGATCACCGTTCTCCATGTACTCGAACAGCGCCTGCAAGTCACTCTCGATAGTCCAAGCACACCCAACTAACCGCACTACATTCGGGTGATCCAATGGAGCCACCATCTTGATCTCCTCGATGAAAGCCTGTGTTCTCTGCTTGGTCACGTGGTCGGATCGAAGTCGCTTGGAAGCTAACAATTGAGACCCGCGGTACTTAACCAGCCATACGACACCGAATGCTCCACTGCCGATCGTACCGATATCCTCAATCTCTTCATACTTGACTTGTAGTGACAGCAACTCCTCATCGTTCCAGAGTGAATACGCCGTTGAGCTTTGGTTGCTCTGTGTACTGCGCGTCGAAATACGAGGTGAGTAATTACTCTCCTCGTACTCGTAGTCGCTACAAAATCGAGGCCCTCCACTCACAGGTGTGCGTCGGCCACCACGATAGCCTTTATCAGCGGGAGACCGAGCTAGAGGTGGCGATAAACCACCGAAATACGACTCTCGAACAACTCTGGAGCGATTGTTGTGTCTTCGTACGCGACTCCTGTACAGCCAAATCCCAGCTAACACCACAGCTACGAGGACTAATAACCCTCCAACGATGGAGCCCACAATGACCAATACGTTCGATGAACTGCTGGCTTCTTCACTGTCGTCGTTTGTACTATCCGAGATGCACACAGTCAACGAATGCACTTGTAGCTGATTGGAACTGCTGCAACTGTCGATCGCATTCGTGAAGTCCGAATTTTCGAGATCAAACGTGGTGAGTTCGCTCAGAAAAGTTGCTTGATCTTGAGTAAACCACGGAGAAGTGAGCGGGTTGCCCTTCATCTTTAACTCTTTCAGGCTGTCATGAATGAAAATACTGGCTGGGATATCGGTGAAGTTGTTGTCGCTTAAGTCCAGTGTGACCAGGTTGGGGAATACAGCGCGAAAAGAGCTGAGATCATTGTCTTGAAAGCTCCTATAATATGCGGAGATTAGTCTGGATTGTTAAGATAAGTTTTCCAGGCGATGGGACGTACAGGTGGATGAGCGAGTTAAGTGCTGCTGTTGCAGCGATCTCGGTGATGTAGTTTTTGTCCAGGTCACTGTTTCAAACGTCATTAAAATGTGAAGTTTAGAATGGTTAGAGTGTACAAGATTAGAATTTAGAAATCTCAGATAAACTTACAGACTTTGAAGACTGGTAAAATTTGCAACCAGAGTCGGGAATGCAGAGAGCAGCGTGTTGGCGAGGCTCAATTTCTGCAGAGACGTTGGTAATACAGCAGGTAGCTGTTGAAGCGTAGCTGGAGTCGAGAGATCCAAGTTGTTCATCACCACATTCGTGACGTTAGATTGTGTAGAGATGACGTCGGAGGCAAATGCCACCTTCGCCACTTTGCTCTTCACCGAGGAGTTGACACTGCTGCCTCCCACCAAAACACTAACAAACAGTTACACCAAGACTCGTTAGAAACCAAAACTAACAGTAAATATCTAAGACACAATACTTACAATGATGTCACGGTTGGCTGGAGTTCGATCGTGCTGATGTTGGAGACTGCGTCATTACTCCCTGCAGCGTACGTGTCGGTCTCATCGGGGATGGCTTCAACCTGTTGCTGGAGCGAAGATTCACTGCTTTCTGCTCTCTCCTTCTCCCGACTGCTCTCGTACGACCCAAACTCTATCAAAAACGTAAAGGTTTCTGGATCGTTCAACGGCTTGTCAAAGCATTGAATCGCACACTCGTTGGTTGTGATGCACAAAGCTCCTGAAGGGCACGACGATGCGCTGTACATCACGCACGGTTCATACTGTGAGCACGCGTCGTCACAGCTCGTAGACAATGTCGACGCTGCGAGTCCGCACGTTTGTCCTGCCACTCCCTGGATCAACAGCAGCATAGCGGTCGCAACGCCCGCCTTCATGGTCAACGGGACTCGTGCTGTGTCCTGCCTCCTGCGCGTCCTACGACATCGACCCATTGGATTGAGATCGGAGCTTTCAGCCCCTTTGATAGAAATCTCAATTGATTTCGGGCCGTCCGAAGCGTTCGAAGCTTCTTAGTCCTTTTGGCAGGTGACAGCGCTGCCTTTTTCTTCCAACTTTGAGTGGAGCACTAACGTGTACTGCACCCAGAGCTGCACTTGAGTCGCTGCGAGCCGCTAGGTCGACAGGCAGCTGGTCAATCGGAAAGCTCGGAAATCAGTCCGAGAGGATGACACTGCTGGTACTGGTAGCGAAACACTTATCCAGTCTGGACTCTAAAGAGCGAAGAGAGTTTTGTTGAGTGAAGCGGGAGTGGAGCCTCTTGGGTCAAGACTTGGAGTCACCAAGTTGGTAAGGCATGTGGCTATCCTCCCTTCACCCTCTGCGTGAGGCTGGCGTGGAGTGCCACCATCCCGCTGGTTGTCAACTCGAAGGGCTGGACGCATGCAAGGTTGACGCTTCATTAAGGAGCTCACTACTGCCTATCTCGATAATATCAATTTTATTCAAGTATGTAAGCAGGTGCTTTTACGTGCGTTGATGACCTTATAAGCTGATACTATTGGCATAGGAAGGCTTACCAGTAGATTGTTGCGACCGGCTGAAAGTGGTACTTTGGCGTGCAAAATCTAGGTTGGGGCTCATTTATGAGGAGAAACAGGCCGGACGTAGGATTTTGCTGATTGTGCTGACTAGTTTGCCAGTTTTTGGCGCTTGGCGAATCCCTTGTTGCACCGAAGTCGGCGCGATCGTTGATGTTTGCGGGCTCAAAGTGAACGGAGCAAGCAGGAAGCTCGTTCAGCCACGCCTCTGCAGCGGCCGGACGAACGCAAGTCCTTTCTTCAGTCCAGAGGTCCGTGACTCGTGGAGGGAGAGAGGCTGTCAATGGAAATTTCATTGGAATGTCCAATTGCATCTCGGTGGCGCTTGCTTTGGGTTAACAATGCGGGTCACCAGGCCCAAGGGAATGCGATACCAAAGGAGAGGGGTTGGACGTTAGAAAATACGAGAGTAGAGTACGTATATTACATGTACGGCATTGGGGGCACTTGGTTCCATTCAGAGTTGATTCACTCCTTGGATTCTGCCGATTTAACTTGAACCGGAACTAGGATTCATTGTGGTATGTAAGTTACCCATTACGGACCAGGTCGAAGTAATATAGCTGGTCACCGCGAGAGCTGGTACACGTAAAAACACAAATGAGGACTATTAATTAAGCTCACTTCGCTGTCAGAACCTAGTAAGATGTGTCTGAAATCCAAGGTCACGTGTTACCCCCACATTCACGTCTGTTATTCGCCGGTTCTATTATATTTTCGGCCCTATCAGAGGAAAACTCAGGCAACGGGGATACTTGCGAAATTGCTTCATATTGATGAATGGGTGTAATAAGTCTCGGAAGAGGATACTTAAATGATACTGTACCCATCATACCTACTTTGATACAAAAAATTTGATTTCTAAAATAACTTTTAAAATTAAATAGGTATAAAGCAATGATGTCAGAAATCAAATATTCGAAAAATAATTTATTAATAATAGATACATTTTTATCTGAAACCTGCAAAAATATAAAATAATGGTACTTGCAAGATTCAAAATAGCTTTATTGAATTATTTAAAATCTATTTCTCTACCACTACTACTATTACTACTACTACTACTACTACTACTACTACTACTACAACTACAACTAATCTTCGATGCCGCGCAATTCTCGTCGTCGCAGCCCCAGTCCTCAGAGCGACGCTGAGACCCGCAAGGTGCTGCCAGCGCGCAGTTCTCGCGGTACCCGCATCCACAAGCTCATTGGGGAAGAAGCTGAAGCAGATGCATCGTTCTGGGGCCAAGCAGCGTGGCAAGAAGATGGCGAAGACGAGGACTATTCCACCGAAGCAGGTATCCATCCACTCTCTCGCATTGTCAAGACTATTTCATTATCTTTTCTCACTGAACTCGATGTTTTGTATGGATCTACAGAGGAGGAAGACATCGTAGACTCGGATTTTGACGACGAAGAAGCACCAGATGAAGAAATCCACGACGCTGAAGAGGACGAGAAGCCTACGAAGCGCAAACGCTCGGCGACGAGTTCTGGACGATACAAAGAGCCCATCCAGCCTCGTCCAGCTAAACGGAAAGCAGCATCCACAGTACAAAAGACCCCATTAGCCACTACTGCACCTACAACGCCAGTATTTGAGTATGTAGCGCCGACAGTACGGTCGTCGACAGCCAGGAAGTCGTCGGAGTCGTCGGAAATGAGACGACGAGCGTCACATGAAGCAGCGAAGTTAGCGGCAAAGAACAAGAAGCCGGTAGTGGAGAAAACTGGTAATCGATTGACACAGGCGCAGCTAATTGCTGAAGCTGTGAGGACCGAAGTGGAGAACACGCAGTCGCTGCAGCGATTGGAGCAGCTGGAAGAGGAGAAGAAGGCCGAGAGTGTCGCCCCTAAAGCCCCCTTTACAGGCAGCATGGTGAGGTATTACAGTAAACTCGGAGCACCCAAGACCATCACGTTCATCAACACACTAGACTACCCGCCGATTTTCAACCAACCAAAGCCCAAGAAGAGAATCAGTTCGCAAGAACAGAAGATCAACAGGCTGAAGCAGGAACAAGAAGAAGACGATGATGACGAAAGTGTGCAGGACGAAGACGTGGAAGAGAAGGATAGCCAGCAGCACGGTTTGTTACAGAATAACACGCCGGCAGCCGCCAAAGCAGCGGCTTGAGCCATCGAATGCTCCTCTAGTTTTCCTTCTTCTTGGTCGCCTGAGCCAACGCCTTGTTGGTAGCTCCCCAGAACAGCAACACCTGCAGTACCAGGGTGCCGTTGAGCAGGATAGCCACACCAAAGCCCGCCACTTGCACTGGATCGCCCGTCTCCTGCATAGTCGTGAACAACCGAGCGATGGAGCCGGCCAAGTTGAGCACCAGTGTGATCAACGCCAACTGACCCGTGTGGCCCTGCTTGAAGTTTGATAAAATCTACAGCATAAACATAATATTCAGATTTCATTTTACCACTATTAAAAATGAGGTAGAGCTTACCTGCGGGATGCGAGCCACGATACTCACAGGAATTCCCGCGGACGCCAGGAGCCACTGGTGCTCATCGGGAATGGAGAACATACCAGCCGCCATGGCAGCGAACACCAATACGAGGCTGAATCGCGTGGACATAGGGATCTTGGGCGTGTAGAACGACCAGAGTAGCAATACCAGGATGATATTCTGCGCCAGGATCACCATATTCTCGCCCCATGTCGACAGAGGGTAGCCGCGCAGCACATTGTAGATGGTGTTGGACAGGTAGAGCACTACTTCCATGTAGAACGCACTGGGCGTGAGGCCAGTGACATCCTTGGCGCTCAGGATCTTGAGGATCTGTGGCAGCTTGAGGATGAGGCTGCCAGTGATGATCGCATAGCTCAACGCCTTGCTGATCACAGATTTAATACACTCCACGTTGCCGAAGTCGTGGTGAGTGGCAAACGCCTCAAAGCACTGAGGAGTGAATAGCCCCAAGACAAGCTCATCGTCGGCTTTCTTCTCCGCCGTCGTGGAGCTAGTCAGCATGGCTGTGGCCAGCGCCAGCGCCGCGCAGATTTGGGTCATTTTCGCCATCGTGAGGGGAGCAATTGACAGAGGATGAGATTGGTGGGCGCCACGTTAATTGTATCGAAATGATTGAATGTAATTGGACTTAGACATGGATTTAGTAAGGGGCCAAATGACTTTGTTATTGTATGCCTCAACTTGAAGCACGGTTAGTTCCTCACAAGACGACCACTTCGAGTACGCGCACAACTTCTGTCGTAGGGGATGTGGCAGTCTCGCTCTTGCTGGAGAAGGGCCCGTAGGCGAGCAACTTCTTCTAATAGTGCGTTTTCTCTCTCCTCTGCAGCTCGCCGGGCTTGTTCCTCCAGTACCAGTCTTCTCTGAAGATTGTCGAGCGTCCGCTTTGAGCCAAGGACCCAGTCCTTAAAGCTATTTAGATCCGATATGCTGCTTGCGAGGCGATCATGGGTTTCCTTCAGCTCCTGAATCGCGGCACAGTAATCTCGACCGGCCATGGCGACGAGAGGGACGGCGGCCCCGCTGCTGGTCTAATTTGCAACTGAGAAAACTACTTGGGCGCTGACAGCGTGCACTCTTGGTTAAGTTCAATCATTCAGGTCAATATCTATCTGTTTGGTTATTGCCATCAGTTCCTTCTTTTAATTTTACAAATATATTAATAGCACAACAATGCGTATTATTGGGTCCATTTCCGATAGTTCTTGACAATCGAACGAGGATGACTGCTACACTTGGGTCAAAGCTCCTACGTGCCTGGAAGGGTTGGCAAGTTAGCTGCTATGGTGGAAGATACTCGATTCATCGACTACTTGCCCTGGAGACTTACACAAAGAATACCCCACTTTGGAGAGTCCTTCTCGTATGTATCGGCACTCCACTACCCATGGCAACTCTTATTTTCATTCAAGAATCGATGCCACTGCGGGATCCAAAAGAAGGTTGGAGTGCGAACTACGGCCAGTGGATACGAGCTGCGATGCTGACGTTTGTGATAACTTACTCAACAACAAGTCCAGTGGGCCATTTCATTGACGGTATTGCTTTTTCTGTGCGTCAACTTGTGGTGTTTTGTACTTGCGTAGCGGTTCTTCTCTGCGCGTGTACAATGGCCATAGCCGCCTACGTTATTTTCCCGATCCCGTTCTCTGTGCTAACGATGACTCCGGTCTACAATATCCTGTATATCGTTGCCTTTCGACTTGTAATGGGGACGGATGTCATCCGTCGCACGAAGGCCCAACCTGAGCAATTCAAGCGGTATATGAACAACTTACATGCTCAAATTTTAATGATGTTCGTGTATCCGATCTATGAGGTTTTGTTTCGTACCGCTCAAGGCTCACACTATCAACTCTTCGTGATTTTACTCTTGCCGATTATCAAGGTGGTCATAAAAAATATTATGCGCAAGTGCACAATGCACGCAGAAGACATGGTTCCAGAGGCAGTTATCTTTACAGTGGACTTCTTCAACGCGATTTACGTGGCCACGTGCATGCAGACTGCCTCTTCCGCTGTATCCATCGTGATTATTGTTCTCACCGACCTATCGCAAACAATTATCATGTTGTACGGACTGCATCGTCGAACCGCTGTCATCTCATCCGCTCTCACTCAAACCGTCCAAAAACCGCACAAGGACCAGTTTCTTAGCGTTCTCTGTGAACTGTGTCGAAACCCCGAGATTTTTAAAAAGCAACTTCGAGCAGGTATTACTCTTCGCTCTTGTTTCTCTTACGACCTATCTGTTGCGGACGTAAGCCTTCTGGATACACTAGACGTTACAATGAAAGACGTCGATACTGTTTTTAAGAGACCGACGAATTCTGCGGCGATTGTACCATATCCAACTACATCAGACATACCAACAAACCATAAGCCCCGTTGGTTTTGCTTTCGTATTGGTATCGGCTCAGTGCATCCTACAACTGACGTGGTCGACTTGACAACTCGTGTATTTACAGACAAAAGGCGTCCAACACGAAGTCGTAAGCCTACCCGACGGAAGACTGCAGAGCACCCTACATTTTTGCGAGATTCACTCGAAGCGCTGTTTAGTACCGAGTGCCTTGTTCTCACCAGTTATTTGGAATCTGTGATCCCGATGTTTTACACGACGTATATATTAGTTATGGTGCATTTGCCAAGCTCCAAATACCACACAGAAATGGTTGGAATCACTGCAGAGAATGTTGGCGCTAGGATTTCGCCTGTTTTCATGTTTGGCTTACTGCAGATCGCTTCGTTGCTGCTGTTGCTGGTTACGATCAAGCGTAATTGTTTGATGAGAGCACTTTACCAACTCGCGTTCGTCCTTGAGTCACAGAAACTGTTGGTCCAAACCAAACTTATTGTCTGGATGATGATTACATTGTGCTTCCGTGTCATGCACTTCGGTAGGTTTTGTGAAAGAGGTTCTGTTGTGGTGTTTGATAACTCATTGCTTTTTAACAGGAGTCGACTTCACGTTTAAATTTTCTGGTTTTGGGTATAAAATCTCATCATCAAGCCCTGGGTGGCCATAATAGTACTCACACGAACTGTGTTGTAGCTTGTGAGGCCTAGAGAACTCACACAAAAACACGCAGTTATCAACGATTCTTGAGAATGTTATACACTTGATTTAACAACGTGTATCGAATGATAATGGAATATACATATTATTTCATAATCTCGATAGCACTTAAAAACGAACTTTAGCTCGATCAGGAAAACCTTCGAGGCAGAAGAAAATTGCTGCGGTATGTTTCGGCAAAAGACTACTCCAGCATGTTAAGTAGAAGCTGTCATACCGATCTTCTAGACAGCAAGCACACTATATACATATTGCTGGTGGTGCAGAATGATGAACGGTGTGACCAGTGAAAACGTGGGCTCTATCGTTCTTTCTGTTTTCGTCTTCGGATTACTACATGAAGTTTTTTTTTCGGACGCTAGTGGCTATAGTAAAGCGCAGGAGCGGAATGAGGGCTTTACAGCTCCTCACATTCAGATCCGAAGAGGAGAGATCGATGAGTCATTGAAAGTATTGTGATTTTGGGTTGTGATCACATTATGTAATCTCATCGCTGATTTCGTGGTGGATTTTACTTTCAAATTCGAAGGGCTTGACTATCACTTTTACTGTTCAAGCTGCAATGCGTCATGTTGCTGTAGAATATTTCTTCCTTTAATGTATGTGTTTCCCGACGAAGTTAATTGATCGACACAGTCAGCTACCAAGGCTACTTGTTTTTCCATTAAAGTGGAGGGATTAGAGCGGGCACTTGGTATTGTTACCAACTATCTCGAGTGGGTATTCATTAGCGATGACGATGAGAAAATTCGACGGATGAATACAACGCTCAAAGTCTATGGAACGGTGCCTTCACCTCAGTCACTTAGAGAAATTGTCGGCATGATTTATGGGATGCTCTCGAACAACACTTGCTGAAGGGATAAGGGATACGTACTGCTTGTAACATCCTGGACGGTTGGACTGATCGATTGCATTGTTGCGCTTCGAAGGATTTTTTAAATTTATTTTTCATCTTGATAAGTATAAAGTTAGTAATATACGAACATGGCGTACTCACCTGAACAATATCAAGCTAATAAAGAGCGCATCATTATTACCAACGCACACGCGAAGCACGCTTGACCTACCAAAAGGGGTACGATGATTAATAGTCATTCTAGCCCGAGCCTACTGTAGAATTCTATTCTCAGGAGCCCAAAATTACTCAAGTAACTCAAACCTAGCAAATAATTCCTATTGCCTTTGATACTTCTGTTATATAAGATTGCCACAGGATAGTCGTACCCAACATAATGGATTTCCCTCCCAATATTAAATACACGTAATTTCTGGTTGTATCTAAAAACAAGTTCCTTAATTTAATCAAGCATGCCATACAAAACACATCAATGTTTCTTGTGGCGGCCAAGTCCCACATCATTTGTAAATTACTGAAGACGAAAGTAATTTATTAGGATGAGTGTCTTCCGAAGCTACGCTCAACAAACAGAGATGGAAAGCCGACGGAATCTAAAGGGAATAGAGAAAGCGGTTAATACATACCTTTGGCTATTAACCTACCTCGTTGCTGTAGTCCGCTTCCTTCTTAATTAATTAATCGCGATAAGCTCTCTCTCTCTCTCTCTCTCTCTCTAAGTTAAAATGTATATTGCTGTGGTTATAACCGAGCCTACATTGATAAGTTCATAACAGAGTGTCTGTACGTTGTCGTAAACCAAACCGAAAATACTTGGACAGCTTTATTTCGTGGAATCATTTGCTTTCAAGCTAAGTTTCAACTATATTTGGAACAAGCGCGCAGCAACGACGACGTAAAATTACAATAATCCAAGTAGAATATCCGGCGCTACTCGTTCTTACTGAATGAAGATTTGTCCAAACTACCGACAAAGGTGTATCATTTCGCAAAGATTTAGCTGGAGTGCAGCAAAATCACAAGTCTGCGGAGTACACTAGCCGTGGAAGTTTATTCTTACTGTAAGTAGTCCTTATCAATACTCGACAGGAACCATTTGCAAGTTGTTGCTAGGACTGCAGCAATAATTACAGTAAACTAGAATGATAATCCAGAGCTTCCCCGTGCAAAACACGGTATTAGTTTGATTGGGGCAAAGGTAGTTAGAACCGGAAATCCATAGGTTAGATGGCTTCTGCTCTAACCTCCTGCTTTCTGCTTCATGACCTTCAAGTAGTGCTGGTAAAACGGATCCTTGGCCAGCTCATTCTTGCTCAACTCCTGTCCTCTCGGCCTCAGTAGCCCCAAAAATTCCTTCACATGATGGTCTTCTCTGTTTGTTTTAGCCCAAATCTGTGCTCTCGCCATCTTTTCCAACGGTGTAGCGTTCTTATCGAAAAATACTTCAGGTCGATTATAACTAGAGCCGAACATGTTAATCATGTGCTCATCAAAGTCAGCGGCGAAGTGCTTGTAGACCCGAAACTCTTCCGTACTCTGAATGTTCTTAAGCACAGCTGTAATTTCTTCGTAAGTCAAGTCTTTTTTGGCAGGAACCAGTTTGTTGAGCCCCACTAGGTTCCACCACTTGTAGGTGCTATCACCTAGGCGGATCTAATCAGTGTTTCCAGTTCGTAAAAACACAATAACTTGATCTCGAATCTGCTCCACAATGATCACGATGTTGAAATCAGAACGTAAACAATGATCTCGATTATTACTAATAAATTGTTACGAAGATTGAAAGGGACCGTAAACAATATTTGCCTACATGTACGGAACTGATTAAAGCAACATTGAAATATTACTGATCGACAACATTGATACACCCAATGTTGGAGATCGGCAACATTGAACTCGCGTTAGTTTGCCGAGTGGGCCAATGTTGGCCATCGTCAACATTGAAAGTACCACAGTGTTTGTCAATGTTGGCCTTGAAAAACATTGAGATGGATGCGAAAGCTGAATATTTAGTTTTTGGCTTAAGAAAATGACAATAGTCTGATTGTGCGACTTATGTTGAAATGATATTGTAAGAGCTTAAAGCCGCAACTTGAGCGGACGAAAACCCGTAAAAACCTATTCAAATCAACGGCATCCAACTTATACCAGCTGAAAGGACTCACGTATTTCCAGTATTATTTGCATGACTACATAGTGAATACACAGCTTGTGCAAGTGTTCAGGATGATTATTGCCCGTCCTCTAGGAATCTGTCCGCGCTAGCTTCAGCTGCATCAAATACAGTACTACTGTCGGAGCAGGGACGACAATTTTGACATCTGGAGCGCAAACTAAATACCATAACATTCGGAGCCGGAGAATCATTTTGGTTTGGGCAGAGAGTGATCCAGTGTTCATCGCCAGCCCTTCCATCCTATTGTGTAAGAAGCACCAAGCCACTGCCGTAGTCAGAACACCACAACTACTGCCATCACCTTGTTTAGGTCCTTCAAGGATCTCTACTTTCCAACGGCGGATAATTTCGGTAGTAGCTAATTGCCCTGAGCTACCAGGCAAATATGCTGAGTATTTTCTCCGCGCGTCCAACCAGTCATCAATTTTTGGCAACAACATTTCTTTCACTCTGGCCTCTGTCTCATCGGTAAATGTGTCGTTGCGAAGTGGATCATACAGTAAAACCTTGAAGGCCCGCATATCAATCAATGCAAGAGTCCAATGTACATTTTTGTCGCCAGGATTACGGTCAAGCTCGAGCTCGGCAAGACTTTGGTGAGTCCGAGTTGCAGGTCAGTGAAGATGTCTTGGACATTGAGGCACGCGCCGAGAGACCTATCGATGAAGAACAGATTTACGGCAACAACAGCTATGGGACTCGAGGCACGCAACACGAGTTAAGATAGGACGCTTGGACGCGTTCCAATCTGCGTAACAAGGAGCCTGGCGAAGGCGTAAGGATGGTAGACGCAGCCAGCTCGATTTCTACCTGCATTTGTTTCTCATTAATAAATTTTCCATCTTCGGAACAATTACCCCGGGTTTCGCGACAATTTTCAATGTTGCAAGGAGAAACAGCCAGCGCCCAGTCGAGACGACATTTGTGCTTGACACTCCAACGTGAGCTCATGCTGCATTGGGGACTCACAAAAAAGCCAGACCGTGTTGCTCGCACATTTTTTGTATCGATAGCGAAATAGCCGAATCATTGAGCCATGAATTACCAGGTAGACATCGCAAAAATTTATCAACCGGAAATGTTGCACCCGAAAACCGGCCTGACCCTACTGGCACAGTTGTGGATAGTGACATTAACGCCACTCGTGTAGCCACATCACTCGCAACCTAGCATCCTTCTCACAAATTTCGAGACTGTCAATGCTTCGATCGTCGATTGAATCCCAATCAGTTTCCAGCCATTGCAACGACTTATCCTTTACACGATGAAGAGCTTTGAACCTATAGAAGTCCTGCATCGTATGAAGCAGAGATCTACAAGAAATATAGTATTTCAGTCATCGTTAGAACACGAACGCATACCCTCTGATTACAATACTCACTGGCGGAACGTGACTCCTCCTTTCAAAACCACTGCAAACTCAGATGTGCTCTCGTTATTTTCCGCACTGCTGTGATCGCTTCGATGTCTTTCTCAACAATTACCTGTCCGAACACCACAGATAGCGATCGAATGGCATTGTCCACTCCATCAGCAGTTGCAGTTGGTCAAAACTTTGAATCGTTCTTTTTATCCCAACCACGAGGATATAGTTCGAGCATTTTACTTACTTTGGTGTGCTTGCGACTGTGACTCAGCCAGACCAAAAGCTCGTTGATTGTCAATCCATGACTCCAGAATTCAATTTGTCCGGATACATTTTCAGGTTCGGGTTGCCTTGCAGCTACTGGTATCTCGCTAGCCATAACCAATCGACTCTGTACGAGCTTTTGGTAGATCCGCGTCTCCGCTGATTGTTTTAGACCCAGTGTGGATAGACGGAGGTAGCGAGAGGGTTTTTAACACCAGTGTGCCTGCAGTATTGGAAAATGATGAACTTGTCAATGTAGCTCCATCCGTAACATTGCGACCGGCCCCTCTAACGCTAAGCACAACGCCTACAGTATCTATTGCTGGCGATTCTGGGCAATCCAACGTAACTCGTGGCTCAGCTGTCCAAAGAGTGCTCCTAAAAGATGTTGAACTTGGACCATCGTTCCTTTGTCGTTGTTCATATGAGATGTGCTGCTCCACCTTTTTCTCTGCTTTGGCCGCAGTGATAATTTTCTTCTCTACATTAGAATCCGACTAGCTTGGCCGATCAAGGCATCCACCATCATTGCAAATTGATAAATCTAACGTGGAAGTGTCACTGTCATTGGCATCGCTTTGGTGTGTTAATACTCCAGTCTCAACGACAGTAGTCGTCGTCGTCTTTTCATCGTACCTTGAGGCAGTAAACTTGTTACTAGTGGTCGTTCCTCCATCAATCGTGGTAATTCGAAACGATCAGCACAGTTGCTTTTGGTATCGCCCTTGTTGTTGGCATCGTCGTCGAGCTTTAACAGCGCGGCGCGAAGGTCGGAACATGCGACAGCCACCAAATCCATCTTCTGATAAAGCTTCGACGATGATGAAGAGACGAGTTCATCAACAATAGACTGAACTGCAGCCATTGCAATTTTAAACTTTTTAACATCACTTTTTACCGTTGGCGGACTTCCTGTACGCTCTTTTTTCATCACGATCTTTCAATTGGATCTCTGGCGCTTTCGATCCTGGAAGTGATCGACCTGAAGTAGAGATTGCCACAGCAACCCCGTCAGTCCAGGTAATTTCACGGAGTGCCTCATTAAGTGTTGTAGCTTCTTTTAGGATTGGAATCAGGTGTTGTGCGCCAGTGTACCTCCAACGATCCGCAACAATCGACGTCGGTAGAAACGTACATTCCAAAACATCTAACAGCTCATACATGATGTGCTTGCATGGGAGTCGAAATGTGCTGAAAACTGGCAATCGCAAGAATTCCCGTCCAACCGCGGATGGAATTGTTTACCGAGACGGTTCTGTACTATATCAAACCCGCTGCCCTGGCCGACCACTCCAAATCCCAATTTGATCTGCATATACCACGAAAATTCATCGAGCACGATTCTAGAAAAAAAAAAAAACGCTAATTGAGCTGCTCATTTCTCGTATTGGGTCGGGATAACTTGGGTCGTAGCGTGAAGTGCAACTCTACTTTATCAACTTCGCGCGCAGTTCTCTCATCAAAGTGTTCTGATGCAGAAAGATGCCACCAAGACACTTATACAGTGTAGTAGTTAGATTCAGCAAAGTCTTCCTTCCACGTTGCTTCCAAGCGGTAAGTTGTGGTGTTACCGGCCGTGAAGTAGGAGGAACGAGCATGTGCTGCCCACATGCTCTTGTAATTCATCCCGTTGTTTTTCCACGTACGCGTAGAACGATGGAGATACGTTGGTGCATTCACGCTTCAGCGATTTCCACTATTCT